GTCATTTACTATGTGTCAGGTACCATAATCCTAGGGTACAGGAATTCAAAGGTGAGACAATGGACTGACACTCAAAAATCTCAGAGTCTAGATGAGACAAATACAAATTATGTCACTAAAAAAACATAATAAAAGTATGTACAAACAGCAGAAGTAACAAGATAAAGCAAGAAATTAATTTTGCTTGAAGAAAATAAGGAGGAAGTAGTTGACATAGCATGGTAAAGAAGAAAGGAGTCTAGTGGCAAAGACTTGGGTCTAAAGCCCAACTCAGTCATTATCAGCTACAAGATTTGGGACACTTTAATTTACCTGAGTTTCCTTTTAAATGTACTTTGAAGAGTTATTCTGAAGATAGAAATAATATATCTAAAGTATCTAACACATCCAGCCATTCAACAAATGAGAGATGCTTTACAAGTTGTGTTCACTTGCCTCTTTTTAGTAGACTACGTTGTAAATCGCACTGTAGGTAGCATCTGTTGACTAATGATTAAGATACATACAGATCACTAAGGTCACTGGCATGGAGAGGGCCACAATTAATCCCATCCAGAATATTATCCTTTACAGACTGTCACTGTTGAGAAGAGATGTGGTTCCTAATATGTGGCACACTCAACCACTAGTGAAACATTATGTCTAATCTGTTTCTTTCTGCATTTTTACCCTGACACCTAGAATTTTACATATTCAGACAGTAGTTATTTCCTAGTAGAGGCTCCCATGTTCCTCAGTCCCACTTCAGTCCTAGTTTAGGATGTTTGGCATATCCTTTATGAAATGGCAAGGTCCAATGAGCAACTGGCAAGTATGAAGATCATACTGAAAGACAATCTAAGCTAATCCTGGATAACTACTATTATCATCTTAATGGTTGATTTGTGAAACTGGAGGCAATTATAATAATTGGAATCTCACTTATTTAAAAATACTATTGAAGCTGGTCAGGAATTAAGTTACATTTACATTTACTTTATGACTCCCAAAGCTAACTTTCTTTAAAATCCCTTCGATGAGCTAAGCCAGTCATTAACATCTACAGGCATACCTTGCTTTACTATATTCACCTTATTTTGATTTTTACAAATGGTAAGTCTGAGGCAATTCTGTGTCAAGCAAGTCTATCAATACCATTTTTCTAACAGCATGTGCTCCCTTTGTGTCACGTTCTGGTAATTCTTACAATATTGCAAATTTTATTACTGTATCTGTTATGGTGATCTGTGATAAGTGATCTTTGATGTTACCATTATAATTGTTTGGGGTTGCAACAAACCGCATCCATATAAGGCAGGGAACTTAATCAGTATGTAAGGCAGGAGAACTTGTGTGTGTTCTCACTGCTCCACCAACCAGCCATTCCCCAGACTCTTCCTCTCCTTGGGCTTCCTTATTCCCTGAGATACAACAATATTGAAATCAGGCCAATTAATAACCATACATTAGCCTCTAAGTTCAAGTGAAAGGAAGAGTCAGATATTTCACTTTAAATTAAGTGCTAGAGATGATAAAGCTTAGTGAGGAAGGCATGTCCAAAGATAAGCTGGACTAAAAGCTAGGCCTCTTGCACCAAACAGCCAAGTTGTGAAAGCAAAGAAAAGTTCTTAAAGGAAATTAAAAGTATTACACTAGTGAACACACAAATGATAAGAAAGCAAAACAGACCAATTTCTGATATAGAGAAAGTTTGAGTGGTCTAAATAAAAGACGAAACCAGCTACAACATTCCCTTATGCCAAAGCCTAATCCAGAGAAAGGCCCCAAAACTCTCCAATTTCATGAAGGCTAAGATAAGAGGAAGCTGCAAAAGAAAGTTTGATACTAGTAGACGGTTCATGAGGTTTAACAAAAAGACACCTCCATAACATAAAAGTGCAAGGGGAAGCAGCAAATGCTGATGTAGAAGCACAAATTATCCAGAAGTTCTAGCTAACTGATGAAGATGGCTACCTCAAACAGATATTCCATATAGATGAAACAGCCTGATACATCTATACATTCCATATAGATGTAGCAGAAGAAGATGCCATTTAGGACTTGCACAGCTAGAGAGAAGTCAATGCCTCACTTCAAAGCTTCAAAGGACAGGGTGACTCTTCTTAGGAGCTAATGCAGCTGGTGACTTTATATTAAAGCCAATGCTCATTTACCATTCTGGCGCCCTTGAGAATTATGCTAAATCTATTCTACCTGCACTCTGTAAATGAAACAAAAAAGCCTGGATGACAGTACATTAGTTTATAGCATGGCCTATTGAATATGTGAAGCCCACTGTTAAGAACTGCTCAGAAAAAAAGATTCCTTTCATTTTAATGAATATTATTCTCCATTGACAATGTACCTGGTCAACCAAGAGCTGTGATGGACATGTCCAAGTAGATCAATGTTGTTTTCATGCCTGCTAACACAACATCCATTCTACAGACCGTGGATCAAAGAGTAATTTTGCCTTTCTAGTCATATTATTTAAGATATACACTGTGTAAGAGGGCTAAAACTGCCAGAGATAGTGATTCTTTTGATGGATCTGGGCAAAGGAAACTGAAAAACCTTCTGGAGAGGAGTCACCATTCTACATGCCATTAAGAACATTCGTGACTCATGAGGTAAAAATACCAACTTTCATAGGAGTTGGAAAGCAGTTGATTCCACCCTTCATGGATGACTTTGAGGGGATCAACACTTCAGTGGAGGAAGTAACCACAGGTGTGGTGGAAATAGCAAGAGGACTAGAATTAGAAATGAAGCATGAAGATGTGATTGAATTGCTGCAATCTCATGATAAAGTTTGAATGGATGACAAGTTACATCTTAGGGATGAGCAAAGAAAGTGGTTTCTTGAGATGGAATCTACTCTGGGTAAAGATTATGTGAACACCATTGAAATGACAATAAAGGATTTAGACTACTACATTGACTCAGTTGATAAAGCAGCAGCAGGGTTTGAAACGACTGACTCCAATTCTGAAAGTTCTACTGTGGGTGAAATGCTATCAAATAGCATCACATGATACAGAGAACTCTTTCATGAAAGGAAGAGTCTATTGCTCTTCCTTAGTGGCAGACTTCGTTGTTGTTTCAAGAAACTGCATCTCAATCTCCAGCAATCACCACCTTGATCAGTCAGCAGCCATCAATATAGAGACAAGACCCTCTGTCAGAAAAAAGATAATGACCTTGCTGAAGGCTCAGATGATCTTTAGCATTTTTCAGCAATAAAGTATTTTTAAATTAAGGTCTGTACTTTTTGTCTGAAATCTACCAAGTACTTTTGGTCTTAAAAAAGTACAGACCTTTATTTAAAAATACTTTATTGCTGAAATAAAGTAAATAAAGTTTTTTATTCTTAAATTTAAGAAGTCTGTACTTTTTTTTCAACATTTCATGTAAATGCTATTGCACATTTAAAGACATGTAAAATCCAACTTAGATATACACTAAGATACCAAAAAAATTCATGTGACTCATATTATTGCAATATTTGCTTTATTGCGGTGGTCTGAAACCAAACCTGCAGTATTCTAAGGCACAAATATACGTTAAGTCCCTACTTTTCATTTCACTTCAACAAAAATTGGTACAGTTCAAATACCAAACAGTGGATAAATGCAAAATTGTAAGTAAGATAAAGCAGTCTACCTCTAAATTCAATTGAATCATGAGATGGTCTTTATGTCCATCTAGTTTTCCAGAACCTCTAACAATATCTTCCTTACTGGCAATCAACATGTAAAAGTCAGTCTGTTTCAAGTTAAATAACCACGGCCTTAAAAGTGAGGACAGCATGAAGCAATCCAGAATCTACTTTAAATGTATAGTTTCCATTCAAGGAAACCAGTGTTCTTAAAAGTTGTTTTTGTGATATATAATTCCATAAAATTTTATTCTATGAATGTCTGTATTCTATACCATGCCAGACTTTATATGTTATATATATATAAACACAAGTTATATTTGTAAAATACTCGTAACACTCTTAAGCAGTTTGACAAAATGCATTTTGAAATACTAATGTTCTATTGAAATTAACTGCCTTACATATTTTCGAGAATTAAATCCTGAGTATATTAAGATTTTGTCCTCTGAAAAGCAGGCACTGAGGAGTCACCAAATCGCAACTGATCTCTTTCCCGTAAATTCTACTTTAGAGAATAATTTGTAAATTCAGAACTCAAAGTATAATGTAAGCATTTCCAATAACAAAACCAGAAGTTTCTTCACAAAGCAAATCTATATATTGAATTAAAATATTATGTGTATTATCGGTCTCTTTCACAAATAGAAATTGATGTTAAAGGCCAATTCCTGACAGCCTTAATAAATGAAAGGAAATACATAAAAGTATCAAATGTCTCAGAAGCAGCAGCTGGAGGCCTGAGGGAAAGAGACAGACAGACAAAAGGAAATGGGAGGGGAAGGAGATATGTGAAGCTAACATGCTTAGACTGCACTAGACCTTAGCTCAGCCCCTGACCCACTATAATCTACTCAGTTATCTGTATCACCCAAAAAATTAACGGTTGAAAAGCAAATCGACCATTGTGGGCCGTGATTTTAGGTCCTACATTTGGCTTGAGATTTGCCAGAAAGAAAAAGAGCTAAATTAGAAAAAGATGTAAATAGCAAGAAGCGCTGTGTGTGTGGAAGGGGGAGGGGAGGAGGGTAATGGAATAAAAGCGAACTGCGCTCAAGTCTCAGCACTAAAGCTACTCTGCGCGTACTACAGAGGCCCGGTCACCGCCGGGAGCTCTCCCAGTGCAGGGCAGGAGCGGGGGCCGCAGATGCTCCCCCGGCGACTCAGGGAAGGGGGTGGTGGGCTCCGGCGTCCCCGGGACACGCGCAGAGTGGCTCCCATTAACACCTTCCTCGCCAGGACCTGGAGCTCCGAGCGGGGCGCGCACGGGGGTGGGGCGGCGGAGCGCGTCCCCTCCTCGGGAGGGAGAAGACGGGAGAGGAGCGGACCGCATTCCCGTCCCCAGCCCAGGCGCGTCAATTACCCGTGAGGTTCCTCAGCACCGTCCCGTGGGCCCAGAGGCTCAGGACCTGCTGCACCGACAGGTTGATCATGGAGTGGTCGCCCCCCTCCGCCTTCATCTTCCCCGAGGGGCGCCCGCCTCCCTCTCCTCGGGGGCCGGGCGGCGGCGGCAGCTGCGAGGCTCGGGGGGCGGCGGCGGGTGCGCGGCTCCTCCAGGCCGCCGCCGCCGGTGGAGGCTGCGGGGCGCCGGGCCGGGCGCTGCTCCTGCTGCCGCGGGAGGGCCTCCGTTGGGGGGCCGCTCAGCGTGTCTCCCAGGCAGCCCCCTCCCCGCCGGGGAGACATTGAGGACGGCGAAGGGAGGAGGGTGGGGAGGGGGCCGGGCGCCGTCCCCGCGCGGCCCCCGAGCGAGGACTCGGGGCGAAGGAGGCCGCCACCGCTCCCTCTCAGGGGCAGCGCCGCGCCGCGGGGGCCGGACACGCGAGGAGGCCGAGGTCACGCCGGGAGGCCGGTGCTGACGGGCAGCCGGCAGGTGCAGCCCCCAACGGAGCCCAGCTCATCGCCGCCGGAGGACCAAGAGGCGCGGGACCGGCCGGAGGCTGCGGCGGCACCTGCCGCCCGCCTACCCGCCTTCGGGTCGCCGACACTCGAGGAACCGCCCCCTCCACCCGCAGCCGCCGGCGGGTCACTCGTGCGCGCGCGCGCGCGCGCCTCTCAACCCGGCCCCTCCTCCCCTGCCCGCCCCGGAGCCGTTGCGCATGCCCACTCCCCCGCTCCCCGCGACCCGCCGCCCTCCGACAGCCGGTCGGCCCCAAAGCCCTTCTTCTAGCTCTCCGCTCGCGCTCCAGCGCGCGTGGCTGACGGCCCCTAGCGTCGGCCCGCAGTGGGGCGGAGGGAAGTGAGGCCTACGTCACTGGCGCCACCGCCGGGCCTTGCTGCTGATTGGGTGCTCCAAGGGAACCGCCTCCACGCCCCCCACCCCCGGACCCTAGGCGCGCGCCCTGGGAGACCTGAAGACTGGGAGCCCTCGCCCCGGCGCTGCTGGGTGCGCGCGGTGCGGGCGGTGTGGGCGGTGCGGGCGCCGGCGCTGGAGGAGCAGCCCTGACCCACGGAGGGGGCTGCTGAACTCGGTGAGGTGGATGCTGTGACAGTTCAGATTTTTGCCTTAAAATGTAATGCTTTTGGTAAAGATGCTTACGTATAACTTTTTTAAAGGTGTAAATATCTCAACATTTAGATAAATGTATTTGCGTTTTTTTTTTTTCTGAGCGTGAATCAAATCACCTAGATAGGTCACTTACTTGCAGAATGCATATTAAAATACCTAAAACACAAATACACCCGCGTTATTATTCTGCCAGTGCCTCTTCCTGCTGCAAGAACTTGGGCCTCCCAGGGTTCCCGGTCCTGCCATCACCTGTTTACTTTAGGCTCGGCAGGTGTCCTAATCCTCAAGGCCATCGCCAGCTCTAGCCCCACCTGTTTTTTGTGATAGTATTCTTTTATCTAATTTTGTTTGTTATTTTTTTCTCTCGGACTTAAACTAGATCTCTCTCCCTATGCTTCGCTGTTTTTCTTCATGTCCAGCGTTAGACAGAGGAGCATCTAAAATCCAACTACAAGTTAAACTCCTCGAAATTTGAAACCTTTTTACTTTACAAAATAAAAATTTAAGTTTTAGCAGTAAAGTATGTATGCACTAGCCAGCCTTTCCGCCCTTTTCCAACCCCTCTGCTATCTGGTTAAAGAAAAATTTACAAAGAGAAGTGAAGAAATACCTGCTGTAGCTAAATCATAAAGTATATTTGGCAAAGCACTGAAGGGTTGAATTACCTGTGAAATGGTGCTCTTGGCCTTAAAATAATATTTACATGTATACCACTTTAAAATAATATTTACATATACACATTTATTTCCTCGTTTATTTGTATTTTCCTTTTGATGTCACAACACAAGAAAAAGAAATTTTTGCACTATTAATAAGAATTGAGCCAAAACTCATAATGCAAAGTTTATCTTCCTCCTAGAATTTAGATTTAATTAGATCTATTAAGATTACAGAATATCAAACATAAAAGAGGCTTTAACATTTTTCTAATTTATTTATCTTACAGATAGGGAAACGAATTCTGTGAATTAAGTGACTTTGGACAGAGATGACTGCACTTCAGAGCTCAGTTTCTGAATTCTTGGTCTATTATTCTTTCTAGCAACGACATTATCTTTATTACCCCACTATTAACTCCCTAACTTGGAGATTCTGGATGAGGAAGTGCAGGTTACCTAATGATATTCTTAAGGGACTTGGTGTTACATAATTAGTGATGTTAGGGAATGTGACCACATTCAGCGAAGAGTTCACAGTACACCCTCTAAGCAGGAGCTCACTAAACTCTCACATTAGAAACCTTTAGTTAGTTTACGTTCTTAGGATTGCACATTATTATTTAAAACATAGTAACATGCAGTGAAAATATTCAGAACCTGGGACAGTGCCTGGCACATGCACCATAAATATTTGTTGAATGAATCACTGAATGATCTTCATAGAAAAGTCAGCATTGTTCTTGTTCTGAATAAATGTTTTTAACAGAATCCAAGTGTTCATGTCAGGAAATGAGAGAGACACAGAAATGAAGCCTCAAGCCAGTGATTCTCTTTGCTACCCAACAACATTTCCCCTGCTCTTCAGTTCAGTTTAATTGGTGTCTACATTTATTTGGCATCTACTGTCTGTAATGTTCTGTGAAAGGTGTTATCTGTAAGATTTGAAGATGAGATCCCTACTCTCTAGGCTATTTAACTTAGGTTTACCTTGATAAAGGTAAGGGTACTGGCTGTGTTGGAAGCCTGTATCTTCAAGGGAATTGGACATTTTCCCAACAGCCAGATTTATGAAACCCAAAACGGAATTAGTACAAATGAAATTTTTAGAATTTGTTTTCCACAGATTTTTGATATTGAATTAATACACCAATTCAGGAATGGTTTAGTCACATCCCTGCTGGAAATCAGGGAACACCCCAAGTGAATCCAAAAGTTTCTTTTCAGCTCTGTGCCCTTCAGTGTGAAACAATTCACAAATGTAATTCATAAACCAAAATTATTTTTCACACATAAGTGAGGGAGCACCCATTAGCCTTAGTCATTTTAAAAACTGTCTTCCAGAGACAACCTAGAGGAAAGCTTTTAAAATCAATTAAAATATAAAATGATATTGATCCTTTGAGAAAAACATTTTCAGGTATCTTTTCAGCTGTGCCCCACTTTACTGGTACCAATTTACTGTATTAGTCCATTTTCACACTGCAGATAAAGACATACCCAAGCTGGGCAATTTATAAAGAAAGAGGTTTAATTGGACTTACAGTTCCATGTGGCTGGGGAAACCTCACAATCATGGTGGAAGGAGAGGAGGAACAAGTCCCAACTTACACAGTGGTAGCAGGCAGAGAGAATGAGGAAGATGTAAAAGAAGAAACACCTGATAAAACCATGCAGAGCCAAACTATATTATTCCTCCCCTGGCCCCTGCCAAATCTCACGTCCTCACATTTCAAAAGTAATCATGCCTTCCCAACAGTCCCCCAACATCTTAACTCATTTTTCAGCATTATCTCAAAAGTCCACAGTCCAGTCTCACCTGAAACAAGGCAAGTCCCTTCTGCCTATGAGCCTGTAAAATCAAAAGCAAGTTAGTTACTTCCTAGATACGCTGGGGGTATTGGATAAACACAGCCATTCCAAATGGGAGACGTTAGCTAAAGCAAAGGAACTACAGGCCCCATGCAAGTCCAAAATCTAGCGGAGCAATCAAATCTTAAAGTTCCCGGATGATCTTTGACTCCATGTCTCACATCCAAGTCACACTGATGCAAGAGTCGGTTCCATTGGTCTTAAGCAGCTCTGCTCCTGTGGCCTTTGCAGGGTATAGCCCCCACCCCCACCCCCTTGGATGCTTGCATAGGCTGGTGTTGAGCGTCTGCACCTTTTCCAGGTGCACGGTGCATGCTCTCAGTGGATCTACCATCCTGGTAGACTCTGAAGGACACTGGCACTCTTCTCACAGCTCCACTAGGCAGTGCCCCAGTACGGACTCTATGCGGGGGCTCCAACCCCACCTAAAGTCTGAATGTGAGAGTAAGAAGACAAAGATTCTGCTAAAATCATTCACACACACACACATATACACACACGCACACACACACAGACACGCATACTCATGATCCTGCATTGTTAACATGTGAGATTCAGTTTTCCCCTCAAAATCCTTGTCTAAGAAGTACCCTGCATCCAGCCTGGTCATATTGCAGATAGAAAGCCACACATTAAAAAAAACGTAAAATAGGCCCGGGCGCGGTGGCTCAAGCCTGTAATCCCAGCACTTTGGGAGGCCGAGGCGGGTGGATCACGAGGTCAAGAAATCGAGACCATCCTGGTCAACTTGGTGAAACCCCGTCTCTACTAAAAATACAAAAAATTAGCTGGGCACGGTGGCACATGCCTGTAATCCCAGCTACTCAGGAGGCTGAGGCAGGAGAATTGCCTGAACCCAGGAGGCGGAGATTGCGGTGAGCCGAGATTGCACCATTGCACTCCAGCCTGGGTAACACGAGCGAAACTCCATCTCAAAAAAAAAAACATAAAATAATGGGTTGATTAAACACCACCTGAAGATAACAATACGTAACTCACAATAAATTCTTAAAAATTATTTAATTATTAAGCTAAACATAAGAAAACATGGTATGCCAAGAACAAAATGGTGAAAATGGTATTTCACTGATTTTAAGTGAGGTATTTTTTAATTGTGTGTAGGGACATTTGGGTGAGCTTTTCTAGGGATTTTTTTTCTATCATTTGCTCATATTTCTTCTGGATAACTTATATTGTAAAAAATGTTATGCGTAGGAGCTTTTATATGTTTAACAGATTAGCCATTGTGATACATATTATGTATTTCTTTTCTAGTTTGTCAGTTGTCTTTTAACTTCAGCAGAAGTTTTCTTGTCATGCAGAAATTTCTGATATTTACATTGTCAATCTATTCTCTTACAGTATCTGAGGCTTCCATTATGCTTTAAAGATGTCTTCCCTTTTCTCAGATTTGATTTTTTTTAAAGTATCCTATATTTTTTTCTAGAAATATTGTAGATTTTT